CGATACTCTAGTATAGAGTATAGTAATGCCACCTCACTCAGGTAAGGTGGCTGACCTGAGTGATGCAAACCTTAGTCTGCTTTAACCTTTCCAAAACCAGTTCCAAGATGTGTTTGGGATCCTGTTGGAACATCCTGTTACATTCAAGTTTAAATCGTCTAGAAGCAGAGTTGAGGTGAAACTGAAGAATGTACATGTAGTCTATTTTGTCCAGTCCACAGGAACCACTGACACTGAAGCAGTTCAGAACTTGGCTGTTCCGGCAGGACAAGGATCATAAAAAGATTTTATAACTCTTGAAAAGCAACATTAAGCTTCTGGAATTGTTCAAACCTCAACTCTAATAAAATGAAATGGACTGTGCACATTAGCCACCTCTCTCCAATGAAACCCACCAATTTCAATGAATCTGGGTCAGATTAAAACTTCAGAAGGAAACTCACTTGCCTAAATGAAATAATTATACTTTTATATTCATTCTGAAGAAGGCCCTATTCTCAGTCTGCACTGTTTGCATTGCCATTCAGTGCAAACAACATCAACAGTTCACATGTGAGTATGAGCAGCCCTAATGTGATGTTGGAGCCCATGTCTGTTGTAAGAATCTGTCTTTGCTTTCCCAGCAGCAGCTGCTTTTTAAGGATGAGCATATATAGTTAACAGAGAAACCTGAGAAACATATTGACTAATTTGCTGCTTCTCCCTGAAGGATCAAACCTCTCAACGAGAAAGCTGAAACCTTTCAAGTGTGAGTCACAAACAGAAAATTCTCAGCGGTATTATGAATTCATCTAAACGACTCGACTCGCAGATTGTTAAAGCACATTCATAGCAGCATTACAACCGAGACATTAAATGAAGCTGCTTTCAGAGAAGTCGACTCAACTTTTCTTTAATAGCACAATTATGCAGGTATTTTTGGTATTTATTGAGGCTCATAATATATGTAAATGAACTTCTGTAAGACACCCACTGGAAGTTTAGTGCCAAAAGAAATGCAGATCTGAGGCTTTAAGTGATGCTGTTCTGTGAAGTAAACCAGGAAACAGAAGAGAACTCAAGTCTACCTGAGAAAATCCTTCAGTGCTGGCAGATCGTAACCTGGCAGATGGATGATGATGGGATCCTTATGCGTCTGTCCTTGTAGGAGATGAGGAGCTCTGGCCAGCAGCACGGCTCTGTGAGCTCGGACTGAACCAGAACCCGCATATAGGGAGACATCTGCCTCAAGTTCCTCCTGCAGCAACCTGGAGAGACACACAGCAGTTATTTTCCAGGTTTCTGCCTCAGACTTTAAAATCATAGCAACAAATACACAGACATTAAAACCAAGAATAAATAGAAATTAAACATTTTACACATTTTCTCAGAATTCCATATCATCACCTTCAGTCATATTTTGCCAAAAGTGATTTTGGCAAAAAGAAAACCAAAACTTTTTACCTAGTAAACCTTCTTTTTACTTAGTAAACATTTTACCTACATCATTATTCTAGGAAGGTGACAGCATAGGGGAGCACCAATTGCAGTTTTTTGTCCAATCATGGATGGATCTTTAAAAAATTTGCTGAAAATAGCGAGAAAGTTGCTGAGTTGGCAACAGTGGGGTGACTATTGTTAACTGCAAACATGCAGACATGACCTGCTGGCCGGTCTGTCAGTCAGCTCTCCCTTTGTAGACGTAGATAAGATCTGTTTTACATGCAAGTATTAGCCAATGGACAATCTCCAGTGTTTAAGGAATTCCATACTTTGCCTGACTTAAATATCCAGAGTGGTCAGCCATGTTTACGCATTTAAAATCTAAATACAAACCTTCCCTGGTGGTGCAGTTGTAAATATGGAACCAGGAAAAAAAAAATATTAAAACACCAACTTCATGGGTTGATGGGTGACTGAAAAAATTAAAAGTAATGAAACTTCTTGATACTCTATTTTAGAGGGTCAGAAAAAAATCAATTCCACAAAGAGTCACAATTTCTAGTCCTGGGAATTCTGAATCAATTCAAAAAGTTCAAAAATTGAGTCTGCTTAGTTTTTTGTACAAATGATATTTTGAATAACTATTTTTGCTTAATAAAAAGCCAGGCAGCTAAGCTAACCGAATACTGGTCATTTAAGTTACAGGATTTGATGCATATGCCTAGGTTTGTAAATATAAACTGATGGAATTTGATACAGTATTTAACTTTGTCTTTCTCCCTTATCACTCACATTTTTTAAACAGAATATCCAGACAGATTAGAAAAATTGGTTTCCGAATTATAAGCCATTTCTGAATTGAATCGTAACCCTAAAAATCAGAATGAAATTGAATCACTAGACACTTAAAGATTTGCATCTCCTCTCCATTTTGTTTTTTCTCTGCTTATCCAGTCCCAGGAGATACATTAATCAAATTCCCGTACTTTTCAAGCCTCATCATAATTCCTGTCCGGAGCTTTAAACATATATCCGATGGCCTGTTTTTCCACTTCAGGACTTAGGAACACACAAGTCCTGAGGCGGTCCACTTCTTCTTTACCATCATCATATCTCATCCCGCCGCTATGACTGATCTGGGTGACCCAGAAAACAGTCCGAGTCGGCCAAGTGTGCACTCATAGATCAAATGTCGGTGTCACATTTGTTCTCCAGCTCCAATCACAGTGGAGAAACAAAAACCTGACAGGCCACTCTTGTTAAAAGAGGATTCCCATCCCAGGTCGCTTGTATCAATGTGACCAATTAGCTAATTTAAAAAAAGTTTGTTTATAGAAGAAATTCCTTGTGAGATCGATGTGTTGATATCTTCTTCATATGGCTTCACTTTAAGAGTCAGGCTCACGGCTATCCCTCTTTAACATTTTCACATTTTTCTCACAATTATATTATTCAAAATATAATTTTAAAATATATTTTGCAATATAATTTTTAAAAAAGTTAAGTATACTCAACCACAAGAATTTCTGTGTATTTTATCTGGAGTTCTGATCAGCCAAAACAAAGAAGTGGAATAATTGTGAAGTGTGAGACAAACAATATGTGATTTTTTTTCAATGCCTGTGCAATTATAGGTAAATATTACCTGTTGAGGTCTGCAGACAAAGCAGATGATAAACATCTCCTCAGCTGCTCTTTGTATTTGCGCTCTTTGGCCTGGAATTCTCTTGCAGCTTCAGTGTTGATCATGGCTCAAGAAATTCTCTAAAAGATAAACATATAAGACAGATTACCTTGTGATTTGAGAAGAGAATCAAGCAAATAATGGCATGATAATTTAAACAGTTGGGAGAAAAACATATTCACTCATAAACCATACTATATTATCTTACTGACTGCAGATGTAATCATGTCTCTGTGTATAATATGGATATTTCTGCAGGTTGTATTCGTAGCAATACCGTTTTTCGCCGAACTGACCGAAGAGGCGCTGTTTCGCAAGTTAGTGGTAACAAGAGGTAGCGGCTACAAAAATCAAAATTATTTGACAACCATAACAAGATCATTTTCACCGCACATTCATAACGTAAATAAGGGCGTAGATTATTTAAAAATATAAAGCGCTTAGTTAATAAATAAAAGAAATGGGGGGAGTTAAAAGCCCAGCAGTTCTTTAACCGTGTACAAATTAAAACCAACAAAACCATATAAAGATACCGGAAACATACCTGAGCTGTCAGAGTGTGCCTGTTCTGTCTCCGTTACCTTCCTTCTGTGCTTCACCAAATACACTGGACATCTCTTATCTTCCTTTCAAAGCTAGCATACTAGCGCTAGCTAAGACTGGCTACCGATAACGGTGTATGTGATTAAACGTGAACTTCGAATGGCTCGTGACAAAAACAGACCAGTACAAATAATATTCCGTGTTTTTTCCGTTTGGCAGCATTTGTATATATTCACGTAGCGACATTACAAGGGTGCTGACCCACTGACCGATGTTGTTGACATCACTACTGCACGCTGCTCCCCGCCCACGGCACACAGTTTGACAAATAACCAAGGAGCGGACGAACCAGGAAGCATTCTGACATGCGCAGTGCAAGCACGTGGACTGTCGCTTCTCAATAGCTTGTTGGTAGCATTCACGGCACGTTATCTCTCATAATATGAGAGATAGATTTGATTCAGTTTTGAAGTTTTCTGCATCCAAATGGTTATGCATGAATATAAACAATACAAAGGGCACTGAGATTACAAAACAGAAATCCCATCTAGCTTTCTTTTTAAGGTAAAAAAATACAAATAAAAGTAGAATGAGATGTTTGGATTGGGTATATTGAATCGAGTTCTTACCGTTTGTAGAAAATTAGAAAGGAAAACGTATCATCTTTTACTTTCACAGCTGTATAGTTTTCAACTGTTTTATTCAGATTGTTTTTAAAACGTGTATCTGGTGTGTTTCTATTTCTCCGAAAATTGCTGCACCTACACCTATTTCAGCAAAAAGGGACAAATACAGTATTAGTCTATTTGTATATATCAATTTAACCATTCTTATTTCCCTCCTGAAAACAAAACATTTGTTATTTATTTGTTAAATGCGGACTATAAAAATAACCTTTACTTCTGCACGCCTGTTTCAAGATTTCCTGAGCGTTCCTGAAGGGTCCCATGCATGCACATGACGTCATCGTCTCTTCCTGCAATTGTTTCTCTTGTCCTACTAGGTTGGCAACGCCACTTTTAATATGTACGGTAAATTAGCAAGGATTCAAACATCTGTTTTGTTGTTATTGCAGAGATCAGCTGGGGTTAAATATGAATTCATTAGGACAAAAACAATTCTTTCAAAGGGGAAAAAATGTTTATTAATTTCAAACAATAGTGCAGGTGTGTAATTCAGCAACATAAAATAAAAATAGAAATTTACGGTTTAGTTCTTTTAATTGAAACGCGGCCCAATCTACTTCTTCAGGTGAACAGTGTGACTGTGCTGACACCCCTCTGAAAGCCGTTTATGTGAAACGAATGTGACTCTACATCAGCATTTTTCTTTGCCACAGAGCAAAGTTATAAATATCAACTATCCAGACGTTTGTTCTACAGAAAAAGCTTTAAACTGCTGCGTCACTCGACTGATAAATTTAGTAACGCCTCCTCTGCTCTTTTTTTCCCCCATCTCCTCTGTGTAAAAGCTTACGGTGACTGCTGGTGAGACAGCTACAAGCACAAAAACAGCATGAGATTCTGTTTATAGCTTCAAACACCCGACGACAATAGTCACCCAAAAATAGGCTGAAAATGCGAAGAAGCATTGCAGTCTGACAGACACTTATTCAGTTTATTTAGAAAATCAAACAGTATCGACCTGGCTCAGTGAGTTTCAAAATGCAGTGTGTAGGAAGAGATACAAAATAGTACAATAGGCAACCGTCACTTAACATTTCTCTACAGGAAGATCAAGTTAACATTCTCTATATTTGAGCAGATATCCGAGGGAGGAGAGAAAAAAATGACTAAAAAAGAAACCTCCATTTTGACAAACACTACCTGATAAACAAAGCCCTGGGAGGTGGGGGACTCCCTGGGAACTGTGCCCGAAATACAGCTGAGCGACACGAGAACAGTGGACAACGACACGCCCCGACGCCCCGGGACGTCTTCACACCGCGACAGCTCCAAAGTTAAAAGGCACCACACAATACAGGTCACAAAGAGAAATAAATGTAATAAATACATAAAAAGATTTCGCCACACATTTGTAATGCTGAAACCGACAAAACTTTAAGGCGGATATGTCGCTGTCATGTGCAAAAAAATATCTTAAAACATGTGTCCTTTCCTCTTGAGTGAGAGGTGTGCTTTGATTCTCTCCTTCTTCGCTGACTTCTTTTTTTAAAAAATATATCTAAAATGTGAAAAAATTTAAAGAATGATTGCATCATCACTATGTTGCTTGGTATCACAGGCATATTTAAGGCTTCCGGGAGAGTGGGGACGGTGCAAGGTGTTGAGGGGAGAGGGGTGGGATGCGAGGGCTGTGCGGGTTTAGTTCCTGTAGCTTTTGCGTCCCTCTCCCTCCTTCAGGAAGGTCCATATGAGGGTGTTGACAATGTCGGGCTGGTCCTGCTGCAGCCAGTGGCTGGCCCCGGATATGATGTTGAGACGGAAGTGATTCCTGATGTAGAGGCGGCAGGCCTCGGCCATCTCCTGCTCCAGGAATGCGTCCCGCTCTCCCCACAGCAGCAGCACCGGAGACCTGACGTGCCTGTGGCTCAGAGGGAGCGAGCTGGTGACAGATACAAGTTACACTTTAGCTGACATGTGGAAGAAGAAGAAGGAAAAAAAAAGAAATTGTTTTGCAAAAATATTCACACTCCTTAAATATTTTCACATTCTCTCACATTAAACCTGCAAACTTCAATGTATGTCATTGAAATAGGTAGGTAAGAACAGGGATGTGCACAGATAGACACTAGGTGGTGCTAGAGCACAGGCCGTTTTAACTCCAGACTAAAAGTGCCCTTCTGAAATATTTTGGGGGGCGGGGGTGGGGGGGTTAAGCAGTGTGTTGTATTGCCTTTACGAAAAACAGTAAAACTCACACAGTACTAAAGCTACGTTCACACTGCAGCCAGAAGTGAACCAAACTGCAGTAGAGCTGGCATGAAAACAACAAGGAACAAAGGAAATAGTTTCTGCTCTGGTCTTCTGGAGGCCACACAACACTAGAAAAATGTATCAACTCCTTTTGAGTTGAGACTTCTGAGCTCCCCTGAGACAGACCCAGTAGATCCTGAACAACTGGGATGCTCTTTTTTATATCATCTGCACTATAGTGATAGTGAAATCCCACAGTGTGTTTTCAAATACATCATTAAAGGGTTAATCAATCAATACATATGAAATGATTGGATGAATAATGAATGACTGTACGTTGATATTTACATCCCTGGTGGTCATGGGTCAGTACAATTTCTTTCATGTGAACAGATAAAAGCTCGTTGCTTGAGAAGGGAGCAGATGGCCTGCCCAGTCATGCACGCACAGTTCACATGTAAAAAAAAAAAAAACAGTACATGCCCTTCAATATTCTTCCCTGTTCCTCCTTTCGGCTAACAGAAGTGGACAGTTTATTAAAGAAAGCTGCAAGATGATGCAGATATTTGGCAGACTTGTGTCAGTGATGATAGTATTTTTAGATACAAAGGTGGCAGTTCCTACTAGATAAAGATGCTCTGTGTGCATATTTACTAGTTAAACCCAAACAATGCTCCAAACAACCACCAGGGTTCATGTAAATCTAACAGTGAACAGTACTTTTCAGTTTTAAGTAGAGAATGACTGCACTGCTGCTTCTTCCAAATTGGGCACACCTTTACTTTATCACAAAGCATTTTAAAGGTATTTTTATCCCATGAATTGATGCATATTTAGCAACAGTACAAGTACAAATTGTAAGAATGTATTTACTTTAAACTTTATGTGGTGGTCCAACACAAAGGAGAGCATAATTGTGAAGTGGAACAAATATTGCATAGCTCCCTTGACTCAGAACCAAACATGGAGGAGCAGCATTCAGTTTTTAGGTCCCTCTAATCTGTAACAAACTTCCAGAAAAACTGCTAAACTGCTGAAACACTGAGTTCAATTAAATCAAGGCTAAAACCACACCCCGTTTAGAACTGGACCTTTGATCTGGATATTTGAGGTATATTTGCTTGATGATTTTGCATCTGACAAAATATAATGTTTAATTGGTCACTGTATTAGGTTTTTTATGGTGTAAAGCACTTTTAACTTTCTTGTTGCTATAGAAAAAAATTTGACAGCTTTTCATTAAAAACAAAACAAAACAAAACAAAACAAAAAAAACACCTGGTGGTGGCCATTTGTATTGGCCCCTCATTTTGTTACCCAGCTAGTGTTCAGACGGTGTTCCCTGAGCGTAGCCATGAATGTTCAGTCAACGTTTACAGACAACGTTCGCCAAGAAACTCAGTGAAACACCATGAAATGTCTGGCGGACATCCAGCCAACGTTCACTGAACACAGAAGGGTCAGTGAGGCTAAACCCTGCTATGTTGAAAAGTCCTCTAGTTAGTCAGAAAAGTCCACTGGTGTGTTATTAAGTCTCAGTATAAATGCAGCTGTTCCCTGTATGCTCCTCTGTTATAATGGTGCAGTTACATTCAAGAGCTAAACCAAATGGCGAATCTGTTGGCAGACCAGAAAATAAATAAATGTTTACAGATGTTCTCCATCCAATCTCATTGAGCGAAATGTATCTTACAATGAAGAAAATTTTGAAATCCATATCTTTTTCCTGCTTCCCAATCATGCACTGCTTTGTGGTTGTTGTTTTTGTGATGAGCACTAAAGCTGTTAAACCTTTTTACAATGGTAATTACTCCTGAACTTTTTAAAATTTCACAGCAGACATAAAAAATATGGCTTAAAGGGGCAGGATTAGGCATCTTTATAGGACAATCAAATAACTACTGCTATATTAAATATGACTTAAAAGAAATTTGACTATAAAATTGAAACGCCTTGAAATTGAGCCTCTGTATCTTTAAAAACTCCTGCTTATTATGAAACTCCACCTGCAGGAAGTCATCAAACCATGGCCACTCTACAAACCTTTTGATAGTGTTTCTACCAGTGTTGCACTGAGAAAAAGCTCTTATGCTGAACTCAGCAAATGTGGAGGTTCACCAGTTGTTTACTAATTGCTCCTGGCTAGTCTGAAGGAGCTGAGAGGGGGAGTCGCGGGGGAGGTATGCTTTGTGAGGCAGAGCTTAGAAGCTTGGAAACTGCAGCTACGTCCACCCAGGCGTTTTGCACAGCTGAATGGTTGCCATGGAGATTAAAGGATTACTCAAACAAGCATGAAAGAATCCAGGGAACACTCCAGTTATGGTTTTGATAAAGGAATTACATTGGAACATGATGTAAAAAGTGGATTTTACATAAAACCATCCCTTTAAGGATACAAACGTTTTTATCATATTGGACTGTGACACAGTCCGACTCGGAGCATCTAAAAGGTTTGTTAGTTTGGCTAAATAAAGTGATAAACAATCAGGTGACATTTTGTCAACAGAACCGGGTCATGGTGGCTGAAAACCATCCTGCTACTGTGTAAGTGGGGCAGGTCAGTGAGTTACCCCGGATGCTTTCAGATCCTGTAGAAGACCTTTCTCCAGTTCGTTCTTTCTTTTTTTTATTTAAAGAAAAAAAAAAGATATGAGATATGAATTATCCCCCCACCTGAAGACATTCCTGTAATAGTTGAGAGCTCCTGTCAGAGCTCCCGGCTGAGAGAGTGCGTACAAGTAGGCTTCCAAATCCTCTGCAGTGAGCCATCGGCCCTTTCTCCCGATCCCAGTGCTCCGACTAGTGAACAAGGCTTTGAGGGCCTGCAGGACAGACAGACAGACAGCAGACTGACACTGGAGCCATTTGATCAGCAGAAAATTTGCAGGAGGACGGCCGATGTTCCCGTAACGTGAGACAGAGAAGCTGCAGCGCAGGTGAGATCAGCTCTGATGACCTTCAGCTGCAGTTCGGGCGTCTCATGCTGTGCTTCTAAACCTGGAAAACTCAGACTGAATATGGCATCACTGTTAAAGCTGAATAGCAAAACTGCTGCCAAAACAACAGGGATCTCTAAAATTCAAGAAAAAAGTGAAATGTTTGTGAATGCGTACCTTTACAACCATTTCACTTATTAAGTAAAATTAACTTAATGCTGCTGAAGAGTTCTTCCCTTGTGATCAGTTGATCTTCAACAAGGCTGAGTTGAAAGTAGAAAAAGCCAAAAGTCCGCCATAATGATGTAAGGAGATATTACAAATTCAGAAAGCTTTAAAAACTGAATTTTTGAATCAACTTTGAATATTTTTGTCTTATACCACCATTTATCTGATAATCTGAAACCTTTAAGCAAAACATTTCTAGTCATATTATTTTGACTTCAATGCTGTGTTCATTTTCATAACTTAGGACTTTTTATTGGTACTTTTATGACTTTATTCTTGTAATTTACTTTTTCATTCTTAGCCTGGCCCTAATACTTCGTCGTAGGGGACAGAAACTGAACTGCAGCACCGTTTGACAAGGCGATAATAAGGCACCAGCTTCCTCTTATAGGAAAGGAGCCAATGCAGCTTCAGCCTCAGGACTGAGGAGCTTTATTCATGCAAAATAATTGAAATCCAATCTGTTGACAAATCTGAAATGATCTCTGATCAGGAAAGAAGGTAACAGCTGGATTAAATAGGGGGCCTGTTGAATAGTAGGTGAGTATTTGTAGATTGCACACAGGAGTCCATGTCTACCAATGACACTGACACAGAAAAACAAACACAGCAACAATGTGCAACATTCACCAGCACACACACACACACGCACACGCACACACACGCACACACGCACACGCACACACACACACACGCGCACACACACACACACGCACACACACGCACACACACACACATACACACCCCCACACGCATATATATACACACACACACACGCATACACACACAAAAGTGTGTGCCCACATGCACACAAGCTTGACCTTGAAAAGCATGTAAGCCCACCTTGAAGTCGTTGATGGAGAGCATGAGCTCTGGGAAGCGGGGCAGCTGGAAGAAAAAGAAATGGCTGGATTTCAGCAGCTGGCTGGGGTGACGCAGAGCGTAGTCTGGAGGAGAAAGAGAAGGCAGACAAGAGGGGGAGCGAGGGAGACATTTCATTTTTGGCTTTAATTAACGGGAAGTTTGCACACACTTGCGAGGGTGGTGGATGGGATTTGACTTTACTGCCGCGTCTCCTACAGCAGGGGTGGCCAAGTCCAGTCCTCGAGAGCTA